AACTATACAAGTCCTGCACAGTGGATGCCAGAGAAGGGAAAAGGTGGGAGAAGGGACAGTAGCTGAGCTGTAACCACTGCTGCTAGAGAGGACAAAGGAGGAAGAAAAACCAGGCCCAATTCCTTAAAAAGTGTCCAGAAATTGTCTTTGCAAAATTTTCCTTACATGCTCTTCTATCTTAAACACAAATTTTTAAAATAAAACCAAAATTACTCCTCATTCAATTAAACGTTTGGCTGTATTTACTGTTCAATATTATATCAGTGTTTTTTTGCTGTTCGTATTAGCAATGTATAGTGTAAATGTCTTTATCTGCAGAAGTCAACCAACTGTGTTAGATGACTTCTAAGATCCTACCTGGTCACTGCAAAGTCTGTAATTCTGTATTTTCACTAGCATTTTACAAGCATTTGTAGCCCATGCTGGGAATCTATCTCATTCCTTTTTGTCACCCAAATAGGGATGGCAATACAAGTTAAAAATAACCAACTTATAAATAAGCTATTAGAACTAAACTAGTTGTATGTTGAATTTCTGCAAAGTATTTGAACTATTATGAATATACACAAGAGGCTGAATTAGGTGAACGTCATAATCCTTACATCTTAAAATTCTACAGTGTCTTAAAATGCAGTGTCTGAAGATATGCATTTTTTTTTTTAGAAGAGCAAGTATTTTTAGAGTCATGGCTCTTGAAATGATCAGTATTAAATATATTCTTACCAGCTTACCTTTAAGAAACTAGTTTATAATTTCAGTATTTTAAAGTATTCAAATCACCATACGTTTAAAAATCTACTTAATCTACAACAGACATCCAAAGCTTTAAATTTCATATTGCAAAATAAGGGTAATTTTAATTATATTTCTGGTAATATGAATATTATACATGACTCAGTTAATTGAGGGCCACCACCACATAGAGTGGAAAATTCGTTAAGTATAGGATTGTTCTGAGGCGGTAATAGGAGAACCAGAGGATACCATTATATTCTTGTAGGTCATAAGCCATAATATTATTCTTTCTCTCCCCTAAGAACATTTTATATCTATTATGAATTCTTTTGTTTTGAATCACTGAGGCATTTTAAAGTAGGAAATCTTTCTGAAAGTAATAAACTAATGCTCTTTCAGTGAAATTTTCCCTCAAATGTCAGAACCACTACCAAATTTGTACTTTTTTTTTTACTAAAAACTTTTTTAGTTTCATAATGTGGAAAAGGTTTTGTCCAAAGAACTCCTTATTTTTGCAAATGTACCAATCACTTAAGTATTTTTTTTAAAAATGTTATTTATTTGAGATAGAGAGTGAGAGAGAGCGCACCAGGGGAGGAGGAGGTGGGGAAGGGTAGAGGGAGAGGGAGAAGCAGACTCTCTGCTGAGCAGGGAGCCCAAAGTAGGCCTCAATCCCAGGACCCTGAGATCATGACTGGAACTGAAGGCAGACGCTCAACCAACTGAGCTACCCCAGGCACTCCTGAAGTACTTTTAATAATAATATTTTAAAAATCCTGGCACCGCCTGGGTGGCTCAGTCGTTAAACGTCTGCCTTTGGCTCGGGTCATGGTCCCAGGGTCCTGGGATCCAGCCCTGCATCAGGCTTCCTGCTCGGTGGGGAGCCTGCTTCTTCCTCTCCCACTCCCCCCTGCTTGTGTTCCCTCTCTCGCTCTCTTTCTCGGTCAAATAAATAAATAAAATCTTAAAAAAAAATCCTGTTAAACGCATATGTTATTGAGTTCAAGAGAAGTCTAAGACACACTTACAGGATAGAATGGGATATGGAACAATCAGAATCTATAATTGCTACCTTATGGGATGGAGTGCCTTTCCCTAACAAACCACCAGGGCCTGGCAATGGGAGATAACTCTGTGTGTCCAGGGTGTGGGGAGGGGGTGGAACCAGAGGTGGTGTTTAGGGTGGCATGGGTGACAGAAGTGGTGAGGAGGTCAGTAGGAACCATGCTTCTTTATCTGAGTTGTCTCAGATGCAGATGAATGCCTCCATTCTCTTTGTGAACAGCCATACTGACTACACTGTTGTCATACAGACACTGTAGACATAGAGAACTGGATGCCTAAAAGCTTAAAAATTTATCTTTTCTTCATTTTCCTTCCTCCCACCACTTCCCCCAGCACCAGAGAGTGTTTAAGGCAATGCAAAGTGGGCCAAAAATACCATTCTTAATGTGGGAAGAATATACTATCTAAACGTGCCCAGAAAACAAACAAGAGGGGATTTTAGTGTTTAACTGTAGAAATACAGTAGCCCCAGATTTCACTTTCCATGGTTTCCATAACCCATGGTCCAGAAGTAGATGACCCTCCTTCCGACATAACATCAGAAGGCCAACAGTAGGCTGAAACTATGTCACATGCCTAGTCATTCACCTCACTTCATCTCATCACCACAAGAAGGGTTAGTATAGCACAATAAGATATTTTGAGAAAAAGAGACATTTATGTAACTTTTATTACAGTATATTATTATAATTGTTCTATCGTATCATTAGTTACAGTTGTTAATCTCTTACTTGCCTAATTTATAAATTTATCATAGTTACAGGAAAAAATATATATAGGATTTGGTACTATTTGAGGCCTCAGACATTCACTGGGTGCCTTGAAACCTCTCCCCCATGGTTAAGGGGGAGCTATTGTAACTAGTCACAAGGCAGAAGAAAAAATATCTGCCTTAACATATTTCCTTCTCAGCATCATGTTCAATACTGGCCAAACACATACAGGCTCAGGAAGAGAATTTAATGTCGTTTCCGCCAACTCTGGAAACAATTCTACTGGGAGGCTCAACAGTCCAGGTTAAGACTGGTCATTTCGTGACTTGTGAATTATTAATTGTACAAATTTACGGAAGAAAGTTATTTTTTTCCTAGCCGTTCAGAACCAACAATGTTTGCAAAACATCAAGATTCCAGAGAGAAACTAGAATTTTGCAGGTTTCATTGCTTGAAAATTTCTTAACTGTATCTTTCCACGAAATTGTCTTTATTTTATAACCTGTTAACTGTCTCTTTAGCAGAACAAAGTCCACAGCAGCAAAACCATGACAAGCAGGCTAAGACAAACCTCCAGCGGTGATTTCTTCAGTTGAAGAATTTGAGGAAACAAGCATGCTTATTCATTTGATACATCAACACAACTACTTCATACAGAACCTTTCACTCACACTGGAAAAAGAGGCTTAATTATATACATCCCATTGTGGTATTACTCATTCTTTCAACATGTTTTTGAAAAGAAGAAAAAAAAAGTTCACTAATAAGGTCTTTTTCTTTCAATGTTATCATCCCATCCGTTGCTGCAACATAAAGATGTGGTATGAAGAATTTCCCATCTCAAAGAATGCCTTGTATCCCCACCAGCAAAGTAGGCACACGCTGGGAGGCCAGCCAGGATGTGGGAATGGCTTCCTATAAAACTGGAGTTTTATATGTATGTTAAAACGGGATTCTACCTGTATTTGCAGTAGTTGTAGATTTTCTAAATGTGTTCTATCCTTCAAGAGCACATTGCTAAAATTCGGGGAATTCTTTCATTTTCTCGTTTTTGCAAAGAGAAGATAGATTCTAAAATTTCCTTTTTTTTTTTGGCAATAGTTGAAGTACATTTATGGAGGTGTTTCAATACTTTCTTTGGTTAGAAAAGTTTATGCAAACCAAACTCAAAAATTCTATAGAGTGCCTCGGGAACTCTATTTTAATACACCCCAGGACTGTTCTAAGCGCCATCGGATTTCTTCACCATGGAAATAGAAAATATTAACCAGTAAAATAACAGGCAGTTTTTCAGGAGGGCTGAGAAGGGTGGAATTAAGTTACCCGGCAAGCAAGACAATCGTCAAAGCTGCGCTTCGGGTTTGTCGGTTCCCACTCTTCCCCTCCTCCCCGACTCCCAACGCCGAGACAGAGCCGTGGAGGGGCAAGATGGGCGAGGCAGAGATTCTCCAGAATCCCCCGTTTTTTCTCCAGCGCTGCGCACCTGCCGCCCCCACTCCGTGCGGTCGCAACCAACTTCCCGCAGGACGCCTGGGACCGAAGGGCAAGGGGCGCACCTGGCGCACCAGCCTCCCCTGCGGGGGCGAGCTCGGCGCCCAGATTAGTGGGCCGAGGGCGCTTTCTATTTTTTTTCAAGTCAGCCTCCCGGAGGATGTTGGATTTGGCGGGGTGTGCTCTTTGAAATACTATATTGGGAACCTCACACATTAAAAAAGAATTTTTTTTTTTTTAAATCGCAAATCTTCCCGGTTCACTAGGCAGCTGGGGAGCAGGCCCGAGTTGGCGTCCCCTCCCGCCCTCCACCCCCGCTTCCCTCCTTCCCGCCCCCTCCCCCCGCCCGGAGCGGGGCTCGCGGGAGCCGCCCCCTCCCGAGCGCCCACTTGGTTCCTCCCAGCTGCCGTGTGAATGGGCCGCCCTCCGGATTCCGCGGAGGGGGCGGCGGGAAGAGGCCGAGCCCGGGCCCCGGCGGCCGCCGCCCCCGCCCCCGCCCCGCGGCGGCCCACGCCGGGATCTGCGTCACTCGGCCGCGCGTGGGCGGGAGCCGGAGCGGCGAATGTAGCAAGAGCGGAATCTCCCAATGTGACAGCGCGCGGGGGGTGGAGGCGGCGGAGGCGGGCGGGGGAGGGGGAGGATACAGTGCGCGCCGGGAGGAGAAGGGAAGGGAGGAAGAGGGAGGACGCGGCGGGGGAGGTGCCGCTGCCACCGCCCGCGCGCCTGAGCCCGGAGGAGCCGCCGCCGCCGCCAACGCGGCCGAGCGGAGCGCCGTCGGGGCTGGCGGGCAGGAAGAAGCGGCGGGTCCGAGCTGGGGGGGGAGCAGGGAGAGCGCGCCCACCACCTGCCCTTCCCCCCTCGATGGGAGCGGGGGCGTCCCGGCCACCGCAGCCGCCTCAGGAGGGAGAGCTGGGGGCCGTCACTTCGGAGTTGGGGCTGAGCCGTCCTCGCGGGAGAGCGTGCCAAGACCGCTGCAGCCGCTGGCCGAGTACGTACCTGCTCGCCGGACGCCAAGTACGAGACGGGTTGGCGCTCGTGCGGCCGCGGGCGAACTTGGGGCGGCAGAGACGCCGGGCCGCGCGGGCACTCGGGGGCCGGCGTCCAGGGGAACGGGCCCCGCGCGGCCGCCACCGGAAGGAGAGGGCGGCATCTGGATCGTGTGGGCGATTCCCAGAGTAATTCGGTGCGCCGGGGCAGCGAGAAGAGGGCGAGCAGGGCAGCGGGCCTGAGTTGCGCGTCTTTCCTCCCGAAAAAGCCGAGGGGTGCGAGTTCATTCTCCTAACGCGACTGGGGTCGTCGCGCGGGGCGCGGGGGTTGCGTGGTGTATTGTGCGTGGTGGGTGCGCGCGCCGGCCCCCGAGTTTTGCAGCTATCTTCCCCAAGGCCAGAATCTTTTTGTTGGTTTGTTTACTTTATTAAAATGTTGCACTTACAGTCTTAGTTTTTGTCTTGGGTATCCTCTCCTTCTGAATATAGTTTTATAAAAGCGGAAGGAGAGTTTTGCTTGGAAGTGGCTTACAGAAACTTGGCACCAAGGTGCAGGGAAGCGAGAGACTCGTGCTCGCTAAGGCCGAGTGTGGAATTTGCAAACACATGTGGGACATACAAGCCTTGATGCAGAGTTGTGTGACCGTATTCATGGAGAAATAAAGTGCAATCAGATTTATGATTTTCAACCTCAGTGTTCACAAAATTAAGATATGAAACGATACTTCCAAGTAAGCCTAAATGTTCTAAGATCGGAAAAGGATAATTGAGTTGGAATATGCACGAATAGGTTCTGCATACCAACTTTGCAGCAGGTGATCAGAAGGAATCTTTGACTTGCGTATAGGTTTATCCCACTCCTTGAGATCCGGCGGGCATGGAAAATTGGGGGGTAGCTGTCAATATAAAATTTCTTGAGAAAGAGTTGATTTGGAGTAACCTGTCACTACCAGTTGGTTTGCCAGTGACTGTCTGCAAACTTAAGGAGTGCAAAGATCAGAAGCTGAGAGGGAAATTCTCAGATCTTGTTTAAAAATATTTTGGCAGTTTTAATAGATAATATTAGATTGCATAGGAACAGAGGAACGGAATTTAAAATAGATTAGTCACGTAGGAAATGCTAGGCTGTTTTGTTAGAAAAGTGTGCACACAGTGAATTACCTTCTTAGATTTTCACTTTTTTGAAAATTTTCCCTTGTAAGACATACCAAATTATGACACGTCATAATTTATATGTGGGTTTCAAGACGAAATACTAGAAAAGGGATGCTTAGGATTTATTTTGGGGTGGAGGTTGATATTTTCCTGAAGACTTAAAAGAACTGCTTTCAATCTAGTGCCAGTAAAAGTGGCTCTTACATTCAAGGGTATCCATTTTCCTCCATTTTTCAGTATTGAGACATCTTAATATTGTCCTTTAAATTTAAAAATTATGTTTTCCTTACGGGTATTAATATGCATATAAAGGTTCTCTTAAGAATACATGGCTGTCTGGCAAGGTCAGCCTTCTTTATTCTTGTTTGGGTGTTGGATGCTGGACAATTAGGTCTTGAAAGAAAATAATTTTAAGGAACCATTGGAAAGTTTCTTGTTTTAATTTTATTAGTTAAGGATCTTGCATGGAAGTTAATATGCTGTCCTGGTATTGGAAACGCTTCATATTCCTTGGCTCTGGTGATTCCCTGTTATATGTGAATGAATCAATAATAAAAACATTGACGCATTCTAGATTTTTTATTTTATTTCATTTTGCCTGCTAATTGTGGATGTAATTAAAATGACAAATCCTTAGGAATACTATAGCTGATAAAAGGAAATTTAGTGAGTTTATATGTCTAATAAATAATTTGATATATTTAATAAGTAATTTGCATCTTCTTTTAGAGAATTATTAAATCAATTATCTCGACTAAATTAATTTAAAATTCTCCTCTTTTGTGACTAGTAAATAACACCCATCGTCCTATAGGGAAGTTAATATATTTTCATCCCCCTGGTTAGAGAATCAGTTAAAGTATTTGGTATTTTAATCACACTTTAAGGACATAATGGTTTATTGTTCAAGATTTTGGGGGTTTGCACTGTGGATGCTTTGAAAGAAAAAATTAAATGTATTACAAAGTGACCTTTGAAGAATCTGTTGCTTGAACTTTAAATATTTAAAGTAAAAGGTAGTTAGTTGGATGGAAACAGATATATGTCAGTTTTTGTGTCTCTTGACCTAAACTCTGTTCTAAGACTTGGGCCTCCTCTATCCCATTAGAAGTCTTTTTGTTTTGTTAGTGCTGTTCATGTGCATCATGAATATGGTTTTATGTTACTTTCATGGGAATGAGCTTTCTTTTTTTAAGATTTTATTTATTTGAGAGAGATTGAGACATCTATTGATCACGAGCAGGGGGGACGGGTAGAGGGAGAAGCAGACTTCCCAGTGAGCAGGGAGCCCTATGTGGGACTCTGTCCAAGGACCCTGGGACCAATGACCTGAGCCAAAGGCAGATGCTTAACGACTGAGCTACCCAGGCGCTCCGGAAACGAGCATTTTATAATATGTTTTGAACAATCTAAGATCCTGCTAATGTATAATTGTCTTGCATATGCATATTTCATCGTGGAGTTTATTAAATATATTAAGGAATAAATAATACCCTTTCAAGCATAATATAAGATTCCTAGCCCCTTTGTTTTGGATTTAATTTTATCTTATCTGCTTCTTTCATTCTTTTTAGTGGAATGAAGAATAGTAGTTATGATATTAAATGCAAATTTTCTTTTTGATCTGACATGTTCAAAAACTAGTACAATAGTAGAATATACTCTCTTAAACTTTATGAAACAAGTGGGAAATCTGAGAAGTTGGTGCTGGAAAAAATAGTAATCCTCATCTTGTCAGAATTCTCACAGCTAAAACATGGCATTAAGCTTTCAAATTGTCATTTCTCCAATACCTTGTATTTAGAGGGCTGCACAGTTAATTTGCACAGTATGTTAATTTAATTTTAAGGAGAAATTTCTGGAAAAAGTACGCCTTCTACATGCTCAGAGGACATTAATGTTTGTTGAATGACTTGTCTGATGGTTGATTGAAGAATTTCTAGCCATATCCTATGAAGGGATCTGTAAGACATTTTTTCCTCCAGGTTTATTCAGAATTCAGAAAAAAATCAATGGAGGGTACATTTTAAGTTCTGCAAATTACCATTAATTCATTAGGAGCTATATGGTTAACTCATAGCTATGATAGTAATAAGATACTGAATATTTTAAGATCACTGAATGCTTACTAATAAATTTGTCTAGGTAAATTATTTGGTACTTGGAATATATAAACACCAACTCTTACAATCTGAAGTAACCCATGATGTAGCTGAATTTTATATTTAATTATTTTAGCTTGAGTTCTAGCACTAGGACAGAAGTTTGGAAGAATTCATTTCCTAGGCTTAAGACTTATCCTTCCCTAAGCCAACTTCTGACTTGTCATAAACCTTTTCCGGTTCAACCTGTAGTGTACCCACTACTCCCTTCTCACCAGGCCCCTTTCTTCCAAACTTGGTAGTACTTCCAAGGCTTTAAATGGGGCTCTGCCCTCAGTTTCCTTATTCCTTCCGTACCATTTCCAGTCCCTGTCTTTCATTCCTTTAGCGTGCACTGGATCTCTATCTAGATGTTAAAAGGAAAACAGTCTGGTGGAACTAATTCACCTTAATCTGTAAATGACTCATGAGCTAACTCTTCCCAAATTTTTTTCACATTTTTTATAAATCTGTAAGAGGCTGCTGTTAACTTAGACAGTTTTAAAGTAAAAATTTCAGGCTCTGTTGGGAGGAAGGAATTTATAGTCCTTTGCATAAAAAATAATTCAGATCTTATGGGATTCTGCCCTTGCTTTCTCCTCACTCCTGAAGAGTCTGTTCTTTGGAATGCCACAGACTTCATAAAAGTGTTTGTATACTGTGTGTGTGTGTGTGTGTGTGTGTATTTCCTACATAACAAAGAGGAGGATTCAAGAGTAGTGATTATGAATCCATTTGATATTTGTTTTGTTTTTTTTTAAGATTTTATTTATTTGTCAGAGAGAGACAGCGAGAGAGGGAACACAAGCAGGGGGAGTGGAGAGGGAGAAGCAGGCTTCCCGCAGAGCAGGGAGCCTGATGCGGGGCTTGATCCCAGGACCCCGGGATCATGACCTGAGCCGAAGGCAGACGCTTAACGACTGAGCCACCCAGGCGCCCCCATTTGATATTTGTTATTTGTGGATAACTTATATTGCATTTTTTTTTTCTTATATTGCATTTTAACTTACAGGAACAAAGAAGGAAAAAACCTAGAATCTTTATGATCTTTTAAAATGCTGGTGTTGGGACTGGACTGACACATGAAGTATATCATAGTAGTAACCACATGTAGTTCCTGTTCTGGGAATACATCCTTAGCTCTTTTGGAAAAATAGCCATGTTACGGAAATCCAAATACAGCCTTATAAGAAAGAAGTATCGAGGATGAGAGAATGTAAAAGCTTTTAGGGAAAGTAGTAGCTAGAGATGGGTCATTTGGACACCATTGGGGCACCAGTTTACACAGAGAGCATTCCTTTTGGAATATGAAAGGAGGCTGCTGATCAGATTCTGTCTCAAAGTTGGGTTTCATTCAACAACAACCTTTATAGAGATGTTATTCTACATTGAACACTTGGCTGGAAGTGGGGGATAGAAGATGAATGAGACCCAGTTTCTACCCACAGGGAGCTTATATCCTCTATTCTGCAGAGCCTGGTGAGGTTGCATCTTTATTCCATGGCTCCTTATGTATAACACTTAGCATAGCATTTATCACAGTGTTTAAGTGTCTGCTTATTTGTCTTCCTTCACCCTCTTAGCTCATTCTCCACGAAGGATCATTTGAGTAAGTGGGGAAAAAAATGAGAGAGAAAGTAGTGAAGGGTTCAGAGAAGGGACAGGACACCTACACCAAGGGGGTGTGGGAAAGGCTTTATGGAAGAGGCCAGTGGAGGTGGGCAGGAGGGAGTATGCCTGGCACAGGGGCCGGGAAGTGGGAGGCACATTGAAGGAATGCCCGGTGTATCTGTTTGGCATAAGCACAGGGCCA